TGGAAATTGAATCCACACTTGAAGCTTGAAATGTATAAATCTTGGAAAAAGGGTAATGCCCAGTTGGCCACTGTTGGTGGTGATGTTCATCCCTCTGGAAGTCCACCCTCTCCTCATGACTCCTTTGATGTAATGGATAAATTTTGGAGTTTCTTGATGCATTTGGAAAAGAGTGGGACATCCACTTCTATTGGGTCTAGTAATGCCTCCACTGCCTTTGCTAAAACAGGTACTACACTTGCTTGTTCTCCATCCCTGGATAGCTCTTGGATTGTTGACTTTGAGGCTAGTGCTCATATGATTGGTACCTTCAAGTTTTCACTTCATACAAGTTTGCTCCAAGGAAGGGTAAGATTACAGTTGCTGATGGATCTTAGACTCCAATTTACCTCAACTACATAAAAACTTACTTTTTGTTAGTTCTCTTACAAAATCCCATAATTGTTCTATGACCTTATTATAATTCGGCCTGCCTTTGAGTTCTGTTAATCTGCTAACAGCCAAGAAGAGAGAAGAAGAAAGAAGAAAGAAAGAGAGAGAGAAAGGAGGAGAAAAGGAGAGAAGAAAAGTCTGGTTCGAATTGGGGAAAAGATTCTTCTCCCATTCGGCCAGACATGTTTTATATTATTAATATAATGGAAAAGACACATGTGCCCTTATTTAAGTGAGGGACACTAGTTCTAATATAATATTACAGATCAGCAACCTCAACATAAGTATAAAGACAGAAATACCCCTACACTAACAGACCTCTTTCCTACTCATTGTAATTTTGAGGACCTGAGGATGGAGAGGAAGTGGGCATGAAGCTGATGGGGTCTATCTTTTTTGACAAAGCTATTGAGCAGAGATTTCTATGCCAGGTTGAGTCCAGTCAAAATGAGAAATTAAGTCTTTTGAAATTATGGCACTTTCGCCTTGGCCACGTGTCTTTTGGCTCTATAATACTCTTATTTCCTAACTTGTTTGATTTAGTGTCAAATTTGAGTCCTCAATGTGAAGTTTGTCACTTGTCAAAGCAATGTGGAACCACATATTTTACTAGTAGTAGAAGCAAAGTTGCTTTTCATTTGGTACATAATGATGTCTGGGGTCCATATACTACTTGCATGGGTGGATACAAGTATTTTATTCTCTTCATTGACAACTACTCGGTACACTTGGCTATATTCAATGAAGACTTAGGATGAAGTTCTATAATTGTTCAAAGCTTCCTTAATATGGTGGAAACACAATTTGAGAAGAGGATTAAAATATAGATTAGATAATGTCAGAGAATATTTTGAAAAGCATTTGAAGGTTTTTCGTGAAGAGAAGTAATTCACCAGAGCTCATGTATTTATACTCCACAACAAAATGGAATTGCAAAGAGAAAGAATAGATGTGTGATAGAAGTTGCTAGAGGGATATTGTTCTAGATGCATCTTCCCACTTGTTCCTGGGGAGAGGCTATTGAAATAGTTGTTTATCTCATTAACAGGCTCCTATCTAGAACTTTTAGTCTATAGTCCCCTCATTAGCTTCTTTTTCCTGATGTACCAACTTTCAATTTACCTCTTAGGGTCTTTAGTTGTGTTTGCTTTGTTCATGATATGAGTCCTTCTAGACATAAGTTTGATCCTAAGTCGATAAAGTGTGTCTTTCTTTGTTATTCCTCTATCAAGAAGGGATACTGATGGTTTGGTCCTCATTCTAGAAGATATGTATCTAAAGATGTCACCTTTCTTGAGTCTTCTTTCTTTCAATCACCCAATCCTTAAGGGGGAGTGTTAGTGAAGATCGGAATCCCTCTTGTCTTCCTTTTCCTATTCATGTAACCCCATGCCCATCTTCTTCTTCTCCTACGTGTAATATCCCTTCACCTCCTCCTCCTCCTGTGTGTCGGCCTCAATCTTGGCAGCAATTTTTCATTAGGCAAAGTAAAAAGGCGACTCCTGAAGCTGAATGTTCACTATAATCTTATCACGCAAACTCAGGTAATCTTGAACCTACAACCCTTATTCATTTTGAGCCTATTAGTACCTCTAACCTTGATCTCCCCATTGCTATTCGAAAGGGAAAAAAGAGATGCATCAACTACCCTATTACTAATTATGTTTCTTATGATGCTCTCTCRCCATCCTATTGTGCCTATATTTTATGCTATTTCTTTTATTTCCATTCATCACAGTGTTGCAAAAGCAATGCAGTCACCTCAATGGAAGGAGGCTACGAACTTGGAGATGGAAGCCTTCATAAAAAATCAAACCTAGGAAATGGTTCCCCTTCTCAAGGATAAGATTCCAATTGGATGCAAGTGGGTGTACACTATTAAACACAAGGTTGATGGTTCAATTGAGAGATATAAGGCTCGTTTGGTGACAAAAGGTTATACTCGGACCTATGGCATTGACTACCAGGAGGAATTTGCTCCTATGGAAAAAATGAATTCTACCCGAGTCATAATGTCCCTTGCTACCCACTATTCTTAGCCTTTGTATCAGATGGATGTGAAGAATGCATTCCTTAATGGGGACCTCCAAGAGGAAGTTTACATGGACCTACCTCTAGGAGTGAGTCTTCCTAATAGGTAAGGGAAAGTATGCTGTCTCAAGAAGTCTTTGTATGGGCTCAAACAGTCACCTAGAGCTTGGTTTGACAGATTCAGAAAGGTGGTGTTAAAAATTGGATTTTCTCAACCTCAAGCTGATCACACTTTGTTCATAAGGAAAGTTGATAACCGAGTGATTATGCTAATAGTGTATGTGGATGACATTGTTGTCACTGGGAATGACCCTTTAGGAATTACCCAATTAAAGTCCTTTCTTGCTTCTGAATTTGAGATTAACGAATTTTTATTTTGCAGGAATACTTCCTGGGAATTTAAGTTGCAAGATCAAAGAAAAGAGTTTTTATTTCACAGAGAAAATATGTTCTTGACTTGCTCCAAGAAGTTAGAAAACTAAGGTGCAAGCCAGTTGAGACCCCAATTAACCCCAACCATAAGCTGTGTTGTTGATAGAGATCCTTTTCCAGATAGAGGAATGTATAAAAGATTGGTTGGTCGCCTTCTTTACTTGTGCTTGACTAGGCCAGATATATCCTATGCAGTTAGTGTGGTGAATCAATATATGCATGAACCTAGAACCTCTCATATGCAAGTTGTCAATAGGATTCTTGCCTATTTGAAGGGATGTCCTAGTAAGGGAATGTCATATTCCTACCATGGGCATATGAAGATTAAAGCTTATATAGAAGCAAACTGGGTAGGGTATGTTGATGATAGGAGGTCTACATCTGGTTATTGTACTTTGGTAGGGGGCAATGTGGTATCATGGAGAAGTAAAAAACAACCAATTGTTGCCCATTCTAGTGCAGTGGCAGAATACCATGCAATGGCCCTTGGGGTATCTGAATTGTTATGGTTAAAAACCTTATTAATTGAGATGGGTGTTCACACTGAAATCCCAATGAGACTTGTGATAACCAAGCAGCTTTAAACATTGCCCATAATCATGTCCAGCATGATCCCACAGAACACATTGAAGTGGATAAAAATTTCATTAGAGAGAAGATAGCTACGAGAGAAATATGCTTACCCTTTGTGAGGTCAGAAGACTAACTTGCTAATTGTCTTACCAAGGGAGTTCCCAAGTCAAAATATGATAGTAATTTAGGCAAGTTGGGGATGATAGATATCTATGTTCAGATTGAGAGGGAGTGTTGAGAATATTTATGTGAAAGGGTATTATTGTCTTTCACATATGTTTGTATTTGGGTGCCCAAGTAGGGGCATACTTGTAATATTTTTCAGAAAGATGTATTTTTTAATTTTAAGGGTGTGAACAGTGACACCACTCTTCTTCAACAAATCCCTTTCTTCTTCTTCCCCTTCTCTCCCTTCTCCCATCTCCTATACTTTTTACGCAGTAAATATGTCAATTAATTGCCATTTTGACTTTTTTTTTCTTTTTGTTACTATATGTTTTGATTAATTTGAGAAAGCTCTTTTGTAGTTATATGCATTTTTTTACCTTTTCTTTTGAATATAGTGACTTAGTAAGTGAACAATATCAAAATAGTAAGCCAATTATCCTATCACCAATTCCCCACAGGTCGCTTAGGAAAATATTTTAACAAAATATCAAAAGGTTTTTAATAACATTCTAAAAATTTAAACCTTGTCAATGAAATGATGAAATCTGAAATATCACCAATTCCCTATGGTTCTTTTAGGAAAATATTTTTAAAATTATAATGATTTTAATGAAATGTCGAATAGTTTTTAATCATATTCAAAAAATTTTAAACTTAAATATATAGTCTATCAATGAAATCTGAAATATTGCCAACATATTGGCAAAACATTAGAGATATTTGCAAAAAAAGGAATTCCCAGAAAATTTTGTATCACCACCTAGCAAAATGAGGATATTTCTCCAATTTCTTGGATATTGTGAACCATGGTTAAAAGTGCACTTTCATGTAGAGGCCCTCGTTGAATTGTTACACTTGTATGAATATCACATATATGCTTAATGGGTTCCTTTTTATTTGGTGTAGAAATTACCAGTAATGAATGAAATGTCAAAAAATTTTGATGCTGTAGCAAGAAAGTAGTTTTACTAGCTATTAAATAGATAGTAGTGATGATGCAAATCTAGAAAATATGCAAATATTTAGAAATGTATAAAGTTTAAACATAATGAATACCAAATCATAGACTGAAAGTCTGATTTCTGTCTTCAAACCATACACCCCATTTATATTTCTTTAATATTTCTGATTCATCTGCATAGCAGGCTTTATAGGTTTCTGTGTTCAACTGTTGTGTCAAATTATTGCGGTCATTAAAGAGATGCAAGGTTTTTTCTTTTTTTTTTTACTTTAAGTTTAGAGGCTATTTTGGGTTAAAAATCTGAAAAACTCGATCTATTTTCAAGCTGTCACTTTTCTTCTTTGTGTGTTGAGCTGCATTAGTCTAGAACATTCTTGTGCTCATTCATTCTTCTATTCCGCAGCATTGTGATATCCTTCGCAAAGCTGCTGAAGCAGGAGGTTTGCTTGTAGATGCAATGATAAATGTCCAAGATGATTCTAAAGGGAATTCATCATCAGTTCCTCTGATGGTTGTTGAAAATGGGTGTGGAAGTCCATGCATAGACCTCCGGCAGGTCAGCTCAGAGCTAGCTGCTGCTGCAAAAGATGCCGACCTGGTAGGATATAATACAATCCTCTGATTCTATGCAGCTTAACCTTTGCTCAAGTATCTTTTGTTATCAGTGTGGATTTACTGGGGAATTGGTGGGTTTGACTTTGTTCCTTGGGAAACTGCTCTAAATGTGAAAATAATGGTAACTTAATGGTAGATGAGCTCAAATCCTGCATTTTGACATTATTGGATGCTGCAGGTAATCTTGGAAGGAATGGGTCGTGCTCTTCATACTAACTTCAATGCTCATTTCAAATGCGATGCTCTAAAGGTAAGATTTTACTGTACCTGATAGCAAGATGAATCTAATAAGCTAATTTCCAGAGCTGTCATATTCATTTACAGTATCGTGGAAAGAAAATTCAAAGTATATTGCTGCAGGAATTTTAATGTTGCCAAAGCAATACTCTGTTTATTGGAGACTGGCATTCCTGAGATTCCATTGCACTAGGAATATTGAAAACAAACTGTAGCAATATAATTTGCCAGAATTTTAAGGCTGATTACTGAGAAAATGCTCATTGATTAATGATATTGTTAATCTAATCAGGTTAGTTACCAACTTGAAGGGATCTTTGTGATAATCACCAAATAGCAAGTTCCAAACCATAGTGATCAAAACTAGATGGTATTGACCAGAAAAATAAGCTGTCCCAGGACAATCTGCTTTACCTGACATCTATCAAATTTCTTACTTTGAGCCGGTTCAGACTGCAATGAGTGTACTGGTTCTATTTATGCAATCCCATCAACACACTTAAACCAATTTGATAGGGGTATTTACATTTAGTTTTGAAGATATGGCCCAAAGGCAACCACCCTAGATGTGTTGCAGGAGTACTACACAAGTTCTTTGCTGTTTGACATGCATCAATGATGAATCTTTTAAAGAGTCATAATTCTAACGAAGGAACAAAACCCTTTTTTCTGCTACTTTTTTCTTGTCGACAGCTTGCAATGGTGAAGAATCAGAGGCTGGCAGAAAAATTGATCAAAGGAAATATATACAGCTGTGTCTGCCGATATGAGCCATTTGCTTGAAAGCCCCTGTCATCAAAGTTAAAATTTTACTTGTTTCATGTCTCAAGTTGAGTGGTGAACAGTTACGACTTTGCAGAATGACAACCTCTCAGTGTAAAAAGTTGGATATAAGTCTCCTTTAGGCTGGATTATGTCTTGGAATTGCTGATTGGAGGGGAATCGGAGCACCAAATATCCAATTGAATCAGGTTGGCATTTTCTTGACCCAATATTTATCTTAAAAAGTTATATAAGAAACAGTTATTTAAGATATTGACTATTGGAAGGACAAAAGGAAGTTGTATAAATCGTAGAGTAACGTCCAGTTTACTGAGCGTTCAATGATGAAAAAGTCTTTTTAAGTTTCAAATGGTTTTGAATAGAGAAAGGTCGATTGAGCTCGCCCAATTTGTTGCAATCTTTGATCCTGAAGATGAATGGTGAATGAAATCCAGAAATGATTTAAACGCTCATCCTGTCCCTGTCTGTCGTCTTGGCTGGTGAGAAGTATTACCTGTCTGAGAATCAATGCAAAAGTTACCAAAAACAGTTTCTCAAAAGGAAGAGTCCGTGCCAAGTGGCATGGAGTCCGGTTGTGGCATCTCGCTTCAGATCCTAGAGTAATTGGGTATGGTTTTCACTTTTCATTGCTGAGTTTGGAAGGAGTACAAATGCAAATATGTAGAGTGCAAAACCTTATATTTTGTATTATTTTGTATGTATTTAGGCTGTATATATTTGCATTTGTACTCCTTCCAAACTGAGCCCTAGGAGCACAAAGATGTACTTTGGTTGTTTTCAATGAGATTTTGCCTAGTCAACCCATTTTCTACCTTCTGATCAAAATGCACATGCCACCAATCGTCTTCCAATTGGAGGACTCTTGTAAAAACCTTTCTTTTGAAATATTTATCAAAAAAGGAAAACATGGATAGGATGCTGAAGCCAAGGGTTTACCAGATTCAGATTCAAGCATTCAAATCGCTTTCAAAAAAGCTGGATTCAAATCGCAATTCAGCAAGATTTTGCCCATCATATACGACAAACAAAACCTATGTCTAAACTTCTCATATTCYGCTATACCATGTAACATGTATACAATCACTTCGCTTATTGGGCCATTTGGGTGGGGGGATTCTACCCAATTGTACTCCGATCTGATCATCTCAGGCGCTGACGACCGTTTTGACAGATGTATCGGAGGTACGAACCCATCCCTCTCATCTCATATCTCTCTCTCACATCATTTATTTTTTTAACTTTTTTTTCAATACAAAACACAAACGGAAGGACCATCGGCGACCACCCGATCCGATAGAAAACCATTCCAGAAGTATCTTAMTTGCACTCCTTGTTCACCTCTTCACTCCCAGTATGCTTTCTCCATTAGAAACAACAGATCTTCAACCGATGCCAACCCATAGAAAATATTCAGAGCAGGCTTCTGGTTCTTGTCAGGACCATCACTAAAGTCAACGTAATCCTGTTGAATAAACCTCAACAGGGAAAGACTCGCGCAGGTTGTGGCTGATAAAAGTTGAAGCCAATAGAGTAGCTTATTGATGTTTCGCAACAGAAGCACCCATCCTGCATAGCGAAGCAAGGGGACATCTGATGTTGCCCATATCCGTGATGGGAACTTCTGCACAACCCGATTGTTGGGTTTTGCCATATTGAATCTCTCTTTCACATGTCGGTTGTGGTGACTATATAGCCCGATTGAGGTAATTGGATGGAAAACCGCTTTTACAGTTCGAACAAGTGGGAGTTGGATTTCAGTATCTAGGTAGACTGATGTTGCCATTCAAGTTCACGACTTCGGCTGAAAATCCTGGTTCCCTTGATTAAGACAATGGTGGTGACGAACTAGAAATCCATCTTGCCTAGTTTGATAGCAAAACCACCCAGAAGAACAACAGTTGCCCAGATGAAAGCTAAGGCTCCCGCTCCACTGGCTGCTTTTTTCAAGAGTTGCAAGGCAAATGGCAAATAGTGTCAGCTTCTTTTTAGGCACAAGGTTAGCTGAAAAAGCGGAGCTGGAATTGCTGCTCCAGGGTCTTCCAATTGGGCTTGCTCCATCCTACCAGAGCAGATTTTGAGGAGTTTCTCTCAGTTGCGCAAGAACTTACCAACAGAGAAGTATGGAAACTATAAGATCAAGTGCTTCTGTAGGAGATGAGAGCTTTGACAGTTGCAAACTGAATTACGAAAGAGACAGATAGTAGATTCATTTCATTGCTCTACTGGTTGTATGAGTTGGGTGGTCACCAGTGATCCTTCCGTCTGTGTTTTGTATTGAAAAAAAATACAAAAAAAAAAAAAAAAAACAAGGATGTGAAAGAGAGATGAAATGAGAGGGACGGGTTCGTAATATCTGCCGGAACAACCATTGGTGCCAGAGAAGATTGGATTGGAAGAGTGCATGGTTGCACAGGCGCCAAGCCGAGAGTCGAGATGAGCTAATGGCCGTCCCATTAGCTCCACACGTGCTAAGGGGGAGAATGCGTGTGGGAGGACAGTTGGCGACCTCTCATTGTGTGGGACATTTTTGGGGCGCTTGGCCGTGGGGCACAGATTTGAACTCTTCTCAAAGGCACCTATCTTTTTTTTCTGTTTTTTTTTTATTTTCTAATCTTAAAGTTGATTAAAATAACTCAAGTGACCAATTACTTTTAAGACTTTTAACACTCCTCATTAAAACGCCATTAACTCTCTCTCCCCTCTTTCCTATTAATTCTTTTAATAATCTCTCATCATTAATTATGCCATTAACTCTCTCCTTTAATAACTCATGCCTCTCTCTCTCTCTCTCCATTACTCCATTACTCCATGAAATTGCATCAAATTCATTAACTTTATCTAAATAACTTCAATTTAACTATATATTTGCACTAAACTAAAATTATCAGTAAAGATTAATTATATTGAAATTGAGATATTCAATGATATATTATTATGCTAAACAATCTACTTCCATTTAAAATWATATTCTATTTGAATATAATAAGAATTTATTAACCATAATAAAAAATAATTTAGTAAGTTAAATAATTAATTATTTATTATTATTATTGATAAAATATTTTTATTCATATCATAAAAAGAATTTAATTAATAAAAGGAATAAGATAACTTACAAATGAATATCAATTTAAAATTAATATAAAAGTAATACAAAATTATCTAACAATTATTAGTTTTATATTCAAATTTTATTAATTTAAAAAGAACTTAAGTTCCACTAAAAAATAAAAATTTATATAGTTAATTAAATTTCATAAGGAATTTAAATTTAATAAAAACTTAATATACTTAAATAAATTCAAATTTGACTAATTTCAAAAATTAATAAAAAATACTAGTTTTAAACATAGTTTAATTATTTTTAAATCAATTTAAATTCCATTTAAAAATAAGTGAAATTATAAAAAGCTCCTTGGGATTTCTAACAATCATATGAAACTCCCTAGTTTTTTTTATCCTAACAAAAACCTCCCCTATTGTTTTGAAAAAGGGTGCAAATAGCTTTTATAATTAAATTTTATTAATTTAAAACGAACTTAAGTTCCATTAAAAAATAAAAATGTATATAGTTAATTAAATTTCATAAGGAATTTAAATTTAATAAAAAACTTAATATACTTAAATAAATTCAAATTTGACTCACTTCAAAATTAAATAAAAATATTAGTTTTAAACATAGTTTAATTATTTTAAAATCAATTTAAGTTCCATTTATAAATAAGGAAAATTATAAAAACCCCCTTGGGTTTTCTAACAGTTCTATGAAACTCCTTAGTGTTTTGGCCCTAATAAAAACCTCCCCTATTGTGTTGAAAAAATGTACAAATACCTTCCATTAGTCATCATTCCAAATAAACAAATGTTGATGTAATGCATTAATTTTACTTCATTTTTGCCTTTTTAGATTTGTCTAAGAAGAATAAGGAGAATTATACTTTGGAAGTTGTTTAGCAAAATAAATTAGTTGAGGACTGGAGGGTAAAGTTGAAACTTTAAGTTATGTATAATAATACATTAACAATGATTTGGGTGTCTTAGTAACTTCTTTTTATAATTTTACCTAAAATAATAATATAATAATAAAAAATAATAAAAATTAGCATTAAGATAAAAAAAAATAATATAAATTTATATAAAGAATAAGAAATTGGCCACTCTCATTAAATCACAACTTAAATTATAATCGTATAAACTAGACATAACCCAGAACTTAGATGAACACCATTTAATTGAAAATGTCATAAAACTCTAACGGGTTTGACTAGTATCATATAAGATAGGCTTTGTTTGATGATGGAATCATCGCGAGTTATTCGTGTGGTGTGGTGTGGTGGGGTGGGGTCTTTACTTGATCGGATGGGCTGCTCCAAAAAACAAAAAATAAAAAATAAAAAATAAAAAATAAAAAATAAAAAATAAATCCCAACAAAAGAAAACAAAGGAATCCCAATTCCCATTCCGCTAACTGAATGGCCAAAATGGATCCACATGTATGGTACCCGTTTGGTTCCTTCTCTGCTGAGTCTCCTGACTGCTGGAGGGGTAGTATGGTAAATTAAGCATCATATCTTCTCATCAGCTGATTGGCCTCAGCCCACATATATGAATATGACATTTACCTTCACAAAATTTTCTTATTTTTCTCTCAAATTAACGTGAGAGATGGACTACTGGTGGATTGAAATTAAAAGTGAGATAGAATATGCGCAAATCTTCAAACCACTAAGTCTGTTGAGTCGGATTCGAAACAGACCCTGACACACGGAGGGGAAGAAAGAGATTTGAGAGAATAGGAGAGAAAGATAGAAATTGGGATGGGAAGAGCATTTGTTTATGTGATTCTTGGCGGAGGCGTCGCTGCTGGTTATGCAGCTCTTGAATTCTCGAGGAGAGGAATTTCTCGTGGTGAACTCTGTATCATCTCCGAAGAACCAGTAATAACTTTCTCCTTTGACCCCATTACTCTGGGTATCTTTATGTTGAAGTAAGAAAACTATTTTCTTGGGCATTAGCTCTTCTGTAGGGTGACATATTGGCTGTTTTATTTCTAGTTGGAGTTATTGCTTTCTGTAATCCTCACGATATCCAACAATTCACATTTCAGCTTATTATAATTTGTTTATTAATTGATGTGCAAGAAAAAGCTAATGTTTTAAATTCTGTAACTTTGTTTTTTACTGTGGAAATCTCGAAAAGAAGCTGCTGATTTTCGCTTCCTTTGCTTAATTTTTGGTTCTTTTGTAAGATTTCAGAGTACTATTGCGTTTGTCCATTTCCAAGTTATCCCTGTACGTCTATTCTATATGCATGTTATTTCTTATTAGTTATTACCATTGTTATAATTACTTCTATAACTATTATTGTTGTTATCATTATWATTATTACTGCCAATTGATCTTTCGCTTTGGTTCTTACCTTGTAAATGTTCTCTTCTGGACTCTTCGTTCTGTTGGCTCTCCCTTCATCTTATTAATGTAGCTGACCTACTTCACTCACGTTCTAACCAAAGCAAAGTCTCACCTTAGTCCTAAGACCGGAGGAACTTTTTCCATTTTCACCAAGCGAGCCATAGCAAGCATGCCTGCAAAACTGAAGAGAAACAGTTATATGATTAGTCATATGACTTGTAAGTTTAGAAGAGTATAGATCCTCCTGCACTTCTTGTGCACATGATACATCATACTTGTAGACTTGGGTATAAAATCATCACTGGAGATATCTGCCAATCAAATCTCCCGGGGAAAGTTAACCTTATTGGGTACATGAATCCTGTTTTGCCTTTCTGTTCTGTTTAATGCCATATCCATTGTTAAATTATGACTGATTAATTCATTTCTTACTATTTCGACTCATGTCCTTTTTGGTCTGCCTGCCCCTAGCCCTTCAACTTGCAACAGATCACTTCTTCTTATGGGTGCTGTAGGTGGTTTTTTGTTCATGTGACCAAACCATCTTAGATAGATTCATAAAATTATATTTCAAGTTTGCCTTCAATCTAAATTACTAGAACCTACAGAGGAATAAAATATTCATTGCTTTTGGAATCAGCATTAGATGATAACTTACATTCTTGGTTTTACTAATCCTCAAAATTGTTTTTTTTTTCCCAGTTAGCCACCTTAATATGGAGCTTCATAACGATTTATTATGTTTCTGGCAGGTTGCGCCTTATGAAAGACCTGCTTTAAGCAAAGGATTTTTACTTCCAGAAGGTATCTTCTTTTCTTCTTGGACGCCCCCCCCCCCCAAAAAAAAAAGATCCTATTTTGATCTCTGTGCTGCTCATTCGGAAAGGATAAAATCTAGCAGATATTTTTTTTATGAGAATTAACTTCAACTTCAACTGTTACTCAAGACGTAATTTTTCAGTGTCAGAATGTGTTGAGACAGTATTACCTATACAAAGCATGTGCAAACTGTGCCTTCAACAATTGGAGGTCCTGCTGTTTCACCAAGAAAAGTACCCTGAGAATACCCAAACCATATACTTTATGCTAAGCTGCTAACAGTATTTTGGTTTCCTTATGGCCTTAAATCAGTGATAAGGGAACCCACCTTGCCCCTCTTCTAATATTTATTGTTAGTTTTCATATGGGTTTTACAACTTATCTTGGATGGATAACCACATATGAAAAGCATTCCCACTAGTCTCTAGTTGTAGTTATTTAGAGATTGTTTGTAGCTTTTCTCTTCAATTCTGGAGCCTAATTGGTTCAGCTCAAGTCAACTAGCTGGGTTGGCCACATGAATTGTGTTATCACCATTCCACGGATCCAGCCTATCTCTATGATATCTCAATGGAAGATTTGAGTGAAAATTCTATCCCCAGGTTCTTTTGGCATTTTTTTTTTATCAATAACAGAATCAATTTCAGGTTCTTTTGGCATTGCAATAATCTTTACAAGGAAAAGGGAGGTATCAAGTTGTGCGTAGCAATATTGTCAGACTTGTAGCAGAAAGAGAACTATTTTGGTGAAAAGTTAAAAAAGTGAAAAGTTAAAAAGTTTTAAAAATAAAATGGTTGTAGATTATCTTTAAATCTATTTTACATTAAAATAAGCTTAAAACAATAAAAATTATAAGGTAAAATACATATAAACACATGTAAATGTAGGAAGCTTGACCAAGTCAACATTTCTAAGAGCCAGACAACCAAAAAGTCCATTTCGGCTGCTGCTTCCAGTTCTGGCAGTCCAACTGTCCAGTCCGGTGATCACTCCAAGTCTGACAACATTAGTGCATAGTGTCTGTGATAAGTCGGCATATGTTCCTTTTCATGGAAATTCCAATTTTTTGTAATCTTTTCTTCTTATCTACCCTTTCCCCAGTTCCCCCTTTGTGCATTGGGTGGGGTAAACTTTAAAATATTCACATTCAAGCATTGTATGAAAAGGAAGATGTTGGTAAATGAAAATATTTATCCTATCTATGAAAAGGAAAAATATTTTAGATTTTCTTTCTTTAAGGGGTTGCTTGGTGCAATTGTAAAATCTCAGGCTGACAAGCATGAGAACATGGATTGAAGTCTGAGAATGTCCACTTTGTGCAAAAAATAAAATGAAATAAGAAAAGGAAGAATGTCATGCATTAGGTCTGTATCTTGTCTATCCCTCCCAATACCCCAGATAGCCAGGACCATCATTGGGTAATGCCATATGTCCCTTGCCCACTTGAAAGGCATGTTTTTTGGGAATTAGAAAACCTCCACTGCAAATTTTTGTCCAATTCATAGTGGTTCTTCTTTTGCTCTTCAATATAACCATTTTTTCTTTCATTATTCATAAATGAATAAGGATAAAATTTAATGATCAACTGTTTCCTAGATTATCTCTTATTTTGGTTGTTTTATTTACATTAGTTAAATTATGTGTAGTCTACTCACTGCAAGTCTTGATTGCAGCTCCTGCACGTCTCCCATCTTTTCACACTTGTGTGGGAGCAAATGAGGAGAGATTGACTCCAAAATGGTATAAGGAGCATGGTAATTATTCTATGACACACTTATCTTTCCTGTGCTAATGAAACTTTTTTATATGGTATTTTTTGTTCTTTTTAGTATGAGATTATCTTGTCATTGCGATGTCTTTTCTTGATTATTATTGTCAATGTTATAACAACATTAGCCAGCAGACTGCCTACAAATCAATTTTCTGATGAAAATAAACTTGAATCTAGCAATTGCAACTGCATCAACTGTTTAAATGATAATTCGTGTCATGATAGCTTAGGAATAATATGCTCTACCTAGAAGAGTTATTAGAAATGATTAATTACATTATTGAAGAATTACCGTGATATATAAAACCCGTGTATCTAGAGGATTTGTTAGAATGATAATATGGTAGTTGCAATGCTCCATGTATACAAGTATTCCATTCAAAGAACCCTAAAAGTAAGATTCATAGACTACGATTCCTATTTAAATACTACTGAAAAATAAAATTGTTTATTTTCATATTCTTGTAAGTAGGGAGGGCAAATAGTAAATAAATAAATCTAGAGTCCTGCACTATTATCCTAGGAGTGTTGAGAGTCCGGAATGGGTACTTATCACTTTAGAAGAGGTCATGCAACATAGRCATCTAACAATATCCTAAACCTCAACCACATTGGTTAAAGTAGGATTTTGTGTTTGAGCAAGATTCAAGGTTCTATTTGGTGGGTCAAAWGAAGTGCAAACTCCTTTACTTATGCTCTTCCTAAACAAGGG